AATAGTGGATTTTATTATATATAAATTTTACTTCAATAAAGCTGACAAAAACATTCCAGAAAAAAAGTTCTATGAATCCAAGTTTCCTCAAGCCAGACTAAATAACCTGTTATAAAGATAGCTTTACAGAATGACAGAAAATTATTCTCTAATTAGCCTGATACACTACCTCAGGATCTTTGCACTAGCTGTCCTCTGCCAGGAACACTCCTGCCTTCCATGCTCCTCCTAGATAACTCTTTATCTTGTTTCTTTCTTTCTTTCTTTCTTTCTTTCTTTCTTTCTTTCTTTCTTTCTTTCTTAGTAAGCTCCACACCTCGAATGGAGTCCAACTAGGGGCTTTAACTCACAATCCTGAGATCAAGACCTGAGCTGAGATCAACAGTCAGAGGCTTAACTGGCTAAGCCAACCAGGGCCCCTATCTTATCTTTCAGATCCTAGTTTCAGTATCACATCCTTACAGACAACTTTCTTGAACCACTCTTACAAATTATGTTCTTCCATTACTCTCTATCATAGCACCCAGTTCCTTTTTTTTTTCCTCAAATACTTTCTATGAATTTGTAAATAAATGTTGGTTACTATGTTAATGAATTTATTTAACATCTACAGTCTCCCCCAAAATGTAAATTTCATGAGGTTAAGAAATGTGTCTATTTTTGTTAAAAAAAATAATAATAATAAATAAATAAATAAACAAACCCCAAAAGGCCAATTTCAGGATGACTAACAGATAAAGTGTTAAAGATTAGTATTTACCAAAAAGACTAAGAGCTCTCATTAAGTGACAATGAAAAGAACAATGATCGGGGCGCCTGGGTGGCTCAGTCAGTTAAATGTCCGACTTCAGCTCAGGTCACGATCTCGCGGTCCGTGAGTTCGAGCCCCGCGTCGGGCTCTGGGCTGATGGCTCAGAGCCTGGAGCCTGCTTCCGATTCTGTGTCTCCCTCTCTCTTTCTGCCCTTCCCCCGTTCATGCTCTGTCTCTCTCTGTCTCAAAAATAAATAAACGTTAAAAAAAAATTAAAAAAAAAAAAAGAAAGAAAAGAACAATGATCAAAGAACCAAGGTTTTGGGACACCTACCTGGCTCAGTTGGTGGCGCATGCTACTCTTGACTTTGGGGTTGTGACTTCAAGCCCCAGGTTGGGTGTAGAGATTACTTAAAAATAAAATATTTAAAACATAAATAAATACAGACTTCAAGCTGTATTACAAAGCTGTAATCATCAAGACAGTATGGTTCTGGTACAAAAACAGATGCATAGATCAATGGAACAGAATAGAGAACCCAGAAATGGACCCACAAATGCCTGGCCAACCAATCTTTGACAAAGCAGGAAAGAATATCCAATGGAATAAAGACGGTCTCTTCAGCAAATGGTGTTGGGAAAACTGGACAGAGACATGCAGAAGAATGAACCTGGACCACTGTCTTATACCATACACAAAAATAAACTCAAAATGGATGAAAGATCTAAACATAAGACAGGAAGCCGACCAAATCCTAGAGGAGAAAACAGGCAACAGCCTCTTTGACCTCAGCCACAGCAACTTCTTTCTTGACGTGTCTGCAGAGGCAAGGGAAACAAAAGCAAAACTGAATGAACTGTTGGGACCTCATTAAGAGAAAAAGCTTCTCCACAGTGAAGGAAAAAAGCAGCCAAACTAAAAGGCAACCGACAGAATGGGAGAAGATATTTGCAAATGACATATCAGATAAAGGATTAGTATCCAAAATCTATAAAACTTATCAAACTCAACACCCTAAAAACAAATAATCCAGTGGAGAAATGGGCAAAAGGCGTGAATAGACACTTTTCCAAAGAAGACATCCAGATGGCTAACAGACACATAAAAAAAAAAAAAAATGCTCAACATCACTCATCACCGGGAAAATACAAATCAAAACCACAATGAGATATCACCTCACACCAGTCAGAATGGCTAAAATTAACAGCTCAGGCAACGACAGATGTTAGAGAGGATGCAGAGAAAGAGGATCTCTTTTGCATTGTTGGTGGGAATGCAAGCTGGGGCAGCCGCTCTGGAAAACTGTATGGAGATTCTTCAAAAAATTAAAAATAGAACTACCCTACGACCCAGCAATTGCACCACTAGGTATTTATCCAAAGGATACAGGAGTGCTGTTCCAAAGGGGCACATACACCCCAATGTTTATAAGCAGTGCTATTGGCAATAGTCAAAGTATGCAAAGAGCCCAAATATATGTACACACACACACACACACACACACACACACACACACACACACACTGGAATATTATTCGGCAATCAAGAAGAATGAAATCTTCCTATCTGCAACAATGCAGATGGAACTAGAGCATATTATGCTAAGCGAAATAAGTCACTCAGAGAAAGACAAATATCATAGGACTTCCCTCATATGTAGAATTTAAGATACAAAACAGATGAACATAAGGAAAGGGAAGCAAAAATAATATAAAAACAGAGAGGGAGACAAACCATAAGAGACTCTTAAATACAGAGACCAAACTGAGGGTTGCTGGAGGGGTGTTGGGTGGAGGGATGGGCTAAATGGGCAAGGGGCATTAAGGAGGACACTTGCTGGAATGAGCACTGGGTGTTAGAAGCAAGTGATGAATCACTAAATTCTATTCCTGAAATCATTATTACACCATATATTAAGGAACTTGGATTCAAAATTTTTTAATTTTACATAAATAAGTAAAGCGAGCTAAGGTTTTATTTATTTTATTTATTTACTTTAATGTTTTTTTATTTACTTTTGAGACTGAGAGAGACAGAGCATGAACGGGGCAGGGGCAGAGAGAGGGAGACACAGAATGGGAAACAGGCTCCAGGCTCTGAGCCATCAGCCCAGAGTCCGACGCGGGGCTCAAACTCACGGACCGCGAGATCGTGACCTGAGCTGAAGTCGGACGATTTAACCGACTGAGCCACCCAGGCGCCCCAAAACGAGCTAAGGTTTTAAATAGGCAATTTACAGAAGAACCAATAATCATAGGAAAAGCTGATCAAGCCTGTTACCAAACTTATGCTTTCACTCCATACATAAAAATAAATCTCAGGTATACTAAAAGCTTACATTTTTTCAAATAAGAAAAAATAACACTGAAGTGTAATCGACAGAATAATGCCCCCCTCCCCGCCCCTCTTCCACAGGTGTCCTTGACCTAATTCCTGGAACCTGTAAATATGCTACCTTACACAGCGAAAGGACTTTGTATACAGATTAAGGACCTTGAGATGGGGAGATTATCCTGGATTATCTGGGTGGGGCCAATCTAATTGCATGGATCTTTAGAACTGGAGAAACTTCCCTGGCTAAATCAGAGAAATGAGAAAAAAGAAGAAGGAAAAGAAATCTGAAGCATAGGAAGGACTGGTCAGGCCACTGATGGCTTTGAAGATGGAGGAAAGAAAGAGGCGAGGAATGTGGGCGTCCTCTGGAAGCCGGGAACAGCCCTCTATCGGCACACAGCAAGGAAACAGATCTACCAATAACCTGAATGATCCAGACAGATTCTCCCTTAGAGCCTCCAGAAAAGAATGCAGCCCTTTCAATGCCTCGATGTCACCCCAGTGAAACCTGTGTGTGAGTGACTTCCAACCTACAAATTGTAAGATGACAGATTTGTGATGATCACTTGTGGTAGCAATGAAGAACTAACAAGATATCTACAGGAACACCTTAGGGGTGGGGGAGAACTTTCTAAACAAAGCCAGAGACCCCAAGTTTCTATTTTTTAAAAAAAGATAAGGCTCTTTGATCTTCTTTTAAAAACATATGGAGGGATGCCTGGGAGGCTCAGTCGGTGAAGCGTCTGACTTCGGCAATTGGTCATGATCTCGCGGTCTGTGAGTTTAAACCCTGAGTCGGGCTCTGTGCTGACAGCTCGGAGCCTGGAGCCTGCTTTGGATTCTGTCTCTCTCTCTCTCTCTCTCTCAAAAAATAAATAAACATTAAAAAAATGTTAAGTGGAACATGGCGATAAATATCATGATCCAAGTGGACATTAGAAAGCAGCGCCCTTTGCGGCATTCATCCTATCATCCGTAAAAAGTACAGGAAAGGAAACTAGAAAAATGGACTCATGGAAGCAAAATGTAATTATATGGTTATTCCTGTACTTGTAGTTAAGTGGCTGTAGAATGAAATCACCACTTGGATGCGTGTTTGTCTCAGAAGTGTAAGTTCAGCAGAACCCGCGTGCCAGAGGAGGGTACAGGAACAAAACATAAATGACCCAGCCTGCCTCCCCTCCCACCCCCCATATACAGAGGAAACAGACTGAAACCTAGAGAGGGGGATGGGGCTGAAGTTCCACAGTTAAAGTGGCAGAGCCAGGCCTAGAACTCAGATCTCAGACACATCCCACCCCCATCCTGGACAACCGTTTGCAGCAAGGGGCTGGATTATGAGTGAGTCCCCAGCCTCATGCTGGCTGAGGAGAAAGGTCTCAGGTCTGAGGCCAGATAACACGTGGAGACCAGCCCGCTGGGTCCTCTGTGGCCCATTCGCTGGCGGCTGGCAGGAGGTAAGCTGGGATCTCTATTTGGGCCTTAGAGCGAAATGCAGAGAAGAGCCTGGATACCACTCCAGTAACCAGCAGGGCAAACCCGGAAAGGGATCCCAAGGGCTGGGATGGAAAGTAAAACTTCCAAGTTCTTCCTTTGACCTTGGCCAAGGTCATTCCTTTTGGCCTCGCGAGTCCTTATCACGTCATGAGGGGGAGAATCCCATTCAAGGCGCAGCGAACAGAAGAAAGGAAGAGGTAGTAGGCAGCCCTCAGCCTGGTGCTGTCCCCCCAGGAGGGACCGAGCCCCGGACAGGCGGGGCGGCGGGAGGGGAGCGAGGGAAGTCGCCGGGTCGCTGCATCCAGCCTGCATCCAGCCGGAGACCGGCTGCAACAGGGCGAGGGACTGGGGGTGGGGGGGGACGGAGGAGGGTCCCGCGCTCTCCTTGTCGGGGTTCTGGGTCCTGCACATGGATCAGTCGCCTCCAGCCAAGGGTCTGCGCGCCCCCTCCTCCTCTCAGGCTCCTCTGGCCTCGCCCCTCCCTCTCACGTTCCCAACTCCCAAGGACAACTTGTCGCTCGCTTCAGAAGCCCGGGGCTTCGTTCTGTCCCCCAGACTCTTTCTCCCCTACTTCTTTTGTCTATTTCTGCATTTGACGGCTTCTCTGGGAAGCGTTCCCCGGATCTCCTTCTCTCTTGTCCGTTCTCGCTCGCTCTCTCTAGCTCTCACTCTCTCTCTCTCTTACACACACACACACACACACACACACACACACACACACAGTCTCTCCTCTGTCTGCCGGCCATCTCGGCGCCTTTCCTCCGCGCCTCTGGCCTTCCAGAGGGCTCAAGGCCCACTCTTGGAACCGCCGCGCGGTGATCCGACGGCGCCCCAGCGAGGGGGCAGGTGAGACCGGCGGGAGCCCCGCCCGGGCGGACGCGGAGGAAGGTGGCGCCCGCGCCAATCCGCCGCCCGGGTCCTGTCCTCTCCCCTCTCACCCCCTCGTCGGCGCCAGGGGGACTGAGGACGCACGAGTCCCTTCGCGCCTCCAGCGCCGTCGGCGCCGGCGCCCCAGACCCAGACACTGCGGCCAGAGGCCTCACGGGGGCGGGGGGCGGCGACCCACAGCCGATGAGCCCTTGGCCCCGGCGTCATCACCAGCGTCCCTAGGCTCTGGAGCGCCCCAAGCCCCGGGTCCCTGCAGCCTCTGAAGACGCGCGGAGGACAGCGCGGTTCGGAGAGGTAGGTGAGACACTCCCAGCCCTGCCTCTCGCCCATGGGGGCCGCGACCACGCAGATCACAACGGAGGCTTGAAAGACCCCTCTAGGGCCGCGCAGTCCCTCGGCCGCGCTTTGAGGACTGATCGGCCGTGGCGGGCGTGGGCTACCCGGGCCGCCTGTTAACCTTGAGCTCCGGACGGATCCAGCCTCCCCAGTAGGGCCTCGGGGTACCCCCGCAACGCCTTCACTCCCCCCCCCCCCCCCCCCCCCGCTCCCACTGGACTCTCACTCTCCAAGCGAAGGTGTGTAAGGGGGCAGAGGGTCACCCCCCCCCCCCATCCTTTGCCCGCAACCCTGGCTCCCCAGAGCCGGGTCCCGAATGCCCCGCGCAGCCTCAGGCCCTCTCCACCAGGTCTGCCCGCTTGCAACTCCGGATTCCAAGCGGATGCAGCGAGAAACCCGGGCTGGCTGGCTGAACAGCCTCGTGGGTGGGGGTAGCTTGGAAAGGGACAACGGTTATTCGTTCTCCACGGAAATTAGGAATTGGCCTGGAACTCTGGGTCCAGACGGGAGCGCCAGGCCCCCAAGGTGCAGAATCAGCTCTCTAGAAGTCCCCTGGAAGCGATGGAGAGAGAATGCTTGGGGGAGTCTCTTGCTTCTAACCACTTTCCACCGCTGCAAGGGGACCCAGGTTTCCTTGCCCTCTGGATTATACAGAGACTCAGTGATCTGCCTGGGAAAGCGTGTATCCGAATCTGGAGGGATGCCTGGCGCCGCCATCTTACTGGAAACTCACACTCACAAAAATGATGCGGGTGCATTTTTGTAGAGGGCCCTGTTGTTTATGGTAAGGGGCAGAAGGCAGGGGAAGGATCTCAATTTGTTTGGATTGATTCAGGGGTCAATACCTGCTTTTGAAAAGGCATGTAGAGAGAATTAGGCATAAAGGGGTATGTAGGATTATGGGGTATCTTAGGAATTAGTAACCCTCAGTAATCAGTGGGGGATCCTGTGTCAGGCTGTGCCTTTGCCAGTATTTAAGCACTGTGTAGCGACTGAGGATTGGTGAAAACATGGAAAAGAGACGGAAAATTACGTCCTCCCAATTGTGCCCAGTAATAAAGGTAGCAGGCGGGAAATTCACATTTTCACCTGTATACACCCCCTCTTCCTAATTAGATCAGTGCGTGGTATATTTCACATATTCCACATTTGCTAAATGTGGAAACATACAGCACAGGACCGGACTTTCCAGTATTAGTAGAAGCACAATGACCCATCCTGGAAAGGAGGTGTTCTCTGAGTGAAAGTTCACATTTATCAGTGTATTTCCCAGACCCCTGGCGGAAGAAAGTCTGGTGCTTTTCCTGATCTGATCTCCCCTGCGAACCCCTCTTTGGAGCTGCAGCTCCTCCCTTTCCCTGGGGTCTGGAGCACTTGGTTTCAAGTGCCAAAGAGGCCTCCTCAGTCCCCCAGCCCAGAAAGGATGACACTTCCTTCCACTCCCAACCATATCACCATAGACTCCCCAGGAGGTGAGTTGCTCCCCACCCCCGCCATGGTTTAGAACCACCGCACCCGCAGGCCCAACACACACATACATTTGCACACTGCCCCAGAAGAAATGCAAGGAAAGGCTTTACTAGCCCCAGGCAAGGCACTGTAGGAGACCTCAGAGGCCCTCAAGGAGAGCCCTCTACTCTTCCACACTGTGATTTGGGAGGCCCAGACCATCCCGGAGCAGCTGGTTGGCAGTTTTGCCTTCTCAGAAGCCTCAGAAGCCACTGCCCCCATGACTGGAGTATCTGTTAGGCTGGGCACTTCGTCTCCCACCCACCCTGCCTCCAACTTCTCTTCCTGGCCTGATTAAAACAAACATCAGGCTTCAGAGGCTCTTGGTTTAGGAAGAGGGGGGTCGCTTATTTTAATCTCCTGGAATCATCACCCTCATTTTTCTCCTCCCTCATGGCTTGCCCTCTGACTCTTGGGTTTTGTCTTCTCTTTCTCCCCCAACACAGAAAGACAGAAAAATCCATGACTTTTTTTTTTTTTTTTTTCTGGGCTTGGAGGGTAGGGACGGAGAGAAAAAAAGGGGGAATGTTTGACCCATCTGGGCAGCACTGTGATTGGGGGTGACAAGTCATTATAGTAGGCCCTGCTCTCCAGTGCTTAGAGGTTGATTCCACAGTCCCCCACACCCCAAGATCCAACGGTACCATCTTCCTTAAGAGGAACTGAGGATGTGGGACATCTGCAGTTTTCAAAAACAGGAAGAATTAAAAATGCTGCCATTATTTGGGTGGCCGGATGAGCAGTTTGGGCAGCAGGTCTGGGCTCACACAGAAGTGAGTCCTCAGGGCCAAGGGGGTTGGGGCAAGGCCTGCCACCAACAGAGCCTTGGCGAGGGCAGGCTTGGTCCTGACCTGGCCTGCAGGGGACCCTGGGCTGTTCATAAGGTGGAGGTGAGATCAGGGGACTGGAGGTCCAGATCTCTCTCCTGCCTGGCTGCCCCATGAGCCCCAGAGCCCACTCAAAAATCAGGAATAGCTGGAAAGGGAAAAAAAAAAATCCCTGAAAACATCCAGATTCGTAATCTACTTAAACATCCAGACCCATCCTGAACACAGTGGTGGAAACTTTTCTCCTTGGTTGATTTGCAACTTTCCGCTCTTCAGTTTGGCAATTGCATACATGGGATCAGCTTGAGGTTTCAGATTTGGGGTTTCAGGGCTCAGTCGCTAGGGAACTAGACTGCAGGGTTTGTGGTCACTCCCCTTCTGTTCCTGTGTTCCCCTTGCTTCCTCCCTTCCTCAGAAATGGCTAGGGCTTTTTTGTAGAGCCATGAAATCCCCCAATTTCCAAGGATTTCAGACTCTTTGGGCGTCAGGTTAAGAATTCCTATTTGGATTGATCGGAGGAATTCGTGTCTGGAAAATGTTGAGACCAACTATGGTCATTAATGCAGGTGTTTAGTTTTTTTCCCCTTGAGCTGGTACCTCGGTGCTTCCCAGGTTGACTTTCACCTGCAAAAGCACCCAGGCGGCCTTCTTCTCCCCACCACTGTCTGGAAAGCAAAGGGCGAAAGCCACTAGGGCCTAAGAGTTGCCCCAATCTCAACTCTTTCTTCCTCAGGAAGGGCCGCTGGGGCCATTCTCAGCCCACTTTCCCATCCGCACTCTACCCACCCTGCCCGCCCCCTCTTAGCCCCAGTTATAGAGCCAACAGACTTTCCTTGCGGGGATAATTAAGGCCAAAGTGCCCCATCCCCCTCCCATCGCCCATTGGGGCGGCTCTGAGTTGCCCTCCTTCTCAGCCCTCTGCTTACTCCCCGGGGCAGCTGTTCAAGGCTGAATCTCGGCTGAAGTGGAAGAGAGGACTTAGTCTAAAATCACCTGGATATTAACGGATAATAACCAGAAAAATAACCATGAACTCCTGAACCTCCACCATCCAACAATTTTTTTTTTTTTTAAACCATGAATCAGGACCCACATTTCAGCCCAAAACTCGCCAGGACTAGTCAAATTGCCCGAAACTCTTTTATGGCAAAAGAAGTCAATACCCAGAGACCTCATCCTTTAAAACAACAAAAAAGGAGAGGGGCCAGATTTCTACTCCTTAAGCCTCTTACCTCTTCCCCAGTCGGTGAGCTCCTTGGCCGGGGACCTCCTGGGCTGGGAGGTGAAGCCGAGGGAAGGAAGCGCCTCGCAGCAACCTTCTCCCTGCGCGGCTCCTCCTGCGGTCTGCGATGTCCCTGCCTTGCGACTCGTGCAAGCTCCTGGGAGAGACCGCGTCATTGCCCACCGCTGTGGAACCAGGTCTCCTGGGGATTGGGATGGTCGCCCCTCCATGAGAGGGGCTCCAGACCGCTGCACCCCATCGATCCCCCAACTCCAGACATGCTTGGAACTGCGCGGAACGTACCCAAGATCTGTACAGGGTTCCCTGGCGCTGGACCGGCCCAGCAGTCCCCTGCCGCACGCACCCCGCGGTGCTCAGTTGGGGATCACCTTTGTCTCCTGGCCGGGAGCGGAGCGACGGTCTCAGTGCCAGCCGCCGGCCAGCTCGGCGACTGCCTTCCCGCTGCGGGCAGGAGGGCCGGGAGGTCCCTGGGCAGGGAGGCGGGGGGAGCCTAGCCGCAGAGACTCTGCGCGCCTCCAGCCCCAGCCGCCTCCAGCCCAGCCGCAGGCTGGCGCCGCAGGGGTGAATCTGGAAGCCTGGGAGGGCCAAGCTCTGAGCCCCGGCCCTCCTGAGGCGGGAACGTGACAGAGGGATTAGAAAAGGAGGCTTTCAAATCCGCCGAGGCGGCTGGAAGCGGCAATAAAGGGGCGAAGGGAGGTCGCAGTTACACAGGTGCCCCCTCGGACGCCGCAACGCCAAGGGCCTGTGGACTCACAGCCTCGGCTGGCCAATGGAAGACATGAGATGGGGTGGGGGGTTCTGTCCAGCCACCGGAGGCGCAGGGAGCGGCTGTAATCGCTGACCCAGCACCTCGCCCCAAGCGGGATCTGGGCGCGGGGGCCCGGCGGGGGCTGGGACGGGCCACCTTTGCCAAGGGAGCATCTTCTCGCTGTTCTGCTCCGGGGCGGGGGAGAGGGGGCGAGTGGGTCCTAGGCTCGGCTACCCGGCGCACGAACAGTTCATTTGCTCCCTCCGGTTGCCGGCGCCAGCACCTCTTGCCCCCTTTTCCCGGCCCTGGATTTCCCCTCCCGGATGCGCCCTTCCTCCCCACAATTAACCAAAGATCCAGCAAAACCCCACCAGGGCCACCTCTATCCTCCCGAACCTGCTAATTAATCAGAGAGTCTTAAGGAGACCGAGGAGTTCTAAATGGGCAGTTTGGAACGAGGGGGCGCTCACAAAGTCATTAACCTCCCGGTAAGGACGGGTAAAGGAGACGCGCCTGGCTGCCTCCGCGGCCCCTGTGGGCCCTTCTCAGCACACGGGTTTTGCCGGTTCCACCTGCCCCCGCGCTCCGGCTTCCAGCTCCTGTCTGGCTGTTTCGGTTCGCTCTTTGTCAT